CAAGCCAAACAGGTCGGGTAAATCGGGTCAGGTCGAAATTGCCATCCCTACAGCAAAGCATGGGGAAAAATCTCAGTATACACTAGTAATTAAAAAAATTCCCAAAATACGTTAGTCATAAAAAAAATTATCAAAGTACACATGTTTGACATTCACCGCCTTTGTCTAAAGCAGTGAATGCAATCCCCGCCGAGAAGAAAGGCGGTGAACAGTATCACCACGTTTAACAAAAACGATGCAACTTCACCGTGTTTGTTTACAGCGGTGAAGCGATCCCCGCCTTTGAGTAAAGCGGGGAATGCCTTCACCGCGCTAGGTTACGACGGGGAAAGTGTTCACCACGCTAGGTTACGGTTGTGATAGTTTTCCACGTTTCCCAGCCCTAGTAGGTCAAAATTAGGTCACAACCACCTAAAGTTCACCGTTTTAGGGCAACGCGGTGATTACCTTCACCGCTGTCAATAAAGACGGTGAATGCTCCCTGGTTTTCATATAAATACCCCTCCCACAAGGAGTTGGAAAAACACCCTCCCCCTCCCTCCTCTGTCAAATTTAAGCAAAAATCCAATCAACATACCTACAGAAGCAATTTTTTGGCATGATTTAATTTTGTATTGTTTATATAATGATGTTTTAGTAGTTATATGTATGTAATGAATTATTATTCGTAGAAAATATGTTATGTTAGTTATAAATTTATGTTGTTGTTAGTTAGTTGAATTTATGTTATGTTAGTTATGAGATGGAGTAATATTATTTTCGTAGTCGTAAAATATGGTTTTGGTTAATTTTATTGGACTTAAGCTAATAGTTACTTATTGTAAATTGCATATATGGGTAAACTCAAGAAGTTTCAGCTTATTATTCGCTGGAATGGCAGGGTGACAAACTCTGATATTAGGATTGATTATGAAGACGGTGAATCAACTATGTTGAAAATTGAGTCACGATTCACGTGGCAAGAACTCTGTGAAATTTGTGCAGACATGGTTTGTACGAGCGGGCATACGAGAGTTGGTAAAATTACTTACCAGTATCCAGACATGAGTGTTGGCGGGGTTGTGTACTAAGAAGTTGTCATAAACGATGATGACGCGGTTACCATGATGTTACAATTCCTCAGCGATAACGGGATGTGGCTTGCAGAGGTGTATGTTGAGACCGAGGTGCGCAGTGAAACTCATTCTGACTAGTATTCTTATGATGATGGTTTTGCAGGAGGGTATTGATGGGGTGGTAGTTCAAGCACCTTCGAAGTAGGTGGTTATACAAGAGGGTACGGATTGGGTGGTAGTTCAAGCAACTACAGTGAAGGTAGTTCTGCAAGAGGTGTGGCATGGAAAGAATACCGGCAACATGCTCAGTCTGCCCCATTTGTTGAGCCCAAGGAAGTTCATTGTCCTGCTTGGGGCAAGAGTGGGCTGACATTGAGAACATCCTTCGATGTGGGCGTACTTTGCATGAGCGAGAAGACGATGCGGGTGATGCGGGTCACGATGATCATCGTGGGCCGAGCTATCCATTCTCCTCCACTGACGAGGAAAGTGAAGAAGATTTGAGATCAGTCAGTGAGGAGGAAGATACGAACGGGATCGACGAAGATGAGGTGGCATTCCGTGAGGCACCAATGCCATACTACACACATGTTCCATTTTAATTTTTATATAGTCAGAATGATGCCCTCGACTTTGTCCCTGTGCCAGTGTATAATCTGACGGCCAATGTGGAGGTGGGTTTGGCGTTCACAACAAAAGACGATGTCCAGGATGCTTTTAGCGAAGATGCCATGTGACGCAATTTCGAGTGGAAGGTGAAATATTCTGACGGTAAACAACTACATGTCATATGCTAGAATGCTGGAGAGGGTTGTATGTGGCAACTGCGGGCTGCAAATATGAAGAGAAAGGGTGCCTGGGTGATTCGAAAAGCTGAGAGCTACCACACCTTCTCCTCGTCCATACTTTCCCAGGATCACCGCCAACTTAAAGCAAAGAAAGTGGGGAGAACTATTAAGCACTTGATCGAGGCATTAAATCTATTAGACAAATACATTCATTCATTCAAACTCTAAAATGTTCATAAATACATAGTGAACCCTAAAACTAGGTTTTGGGGTTTAGAACCCCTAGTACCTTAGAGGACTACTCCATAAAGGAGAGAAGGAGATACATGGTAGAAATAGAAGAAGACTTAAAGTTGGGGAAGATCCTCCTTGCTCCTTGCTCCTCCTCCTTCTCCTTCTCTTCTTCTCCCTTCAGCTTCTCTCTCTTATCTCTCTCTAGATCCATAAATTTCACTCAAAATCAGCTCCTTAAAATGAGAAACATGATCTTCTATTTATAGGCATTATGAACACGGGGAAGTTCGCGGCCTGAGGTTGGGAGATCGCGGACAGGATCTTCTGAAGATAGGCCGCAATCTCAAGATGATGTCGTCATGGCCATCTAAAGGCGGAAGATTGCGGGTTGATTTCGAGGTCGCGATCCTTGAGTCATGACCATGATCTTCCTTGCGGGCAAGTTGAACGTTGTCCATAATGTGACTAGGGAAACTCTCTGGTCCTCCAAGGCTCCTTCTTCGCGAAGTTCGCACCCTATGCCTTCAAGATCGCGGTCACGATCTTTGGCTTCTGGGCAGCAATCTTTAGCGAGTCTTCGCGACTGGAAATCCCGACTGTGATCTTTGGCTTCTAGGCCACGATCTTTGAACCTTGCCTCATTTCTACACTTGTGACCTTGTATTGTACCTAATTTGCACATATTGACTAATCCACCCTATAATCACATCTAAATCAAATAGGAACAAAATAGGGATGTACTTGAGAATGTCGCTCAAGCACATGAATTGATAGGGTACAAAACCCACTACTATAAAACTCTATCATCCACCCTCTATCTCTTCCCAATTTTAATGGTCCAAATTATTTCGCAACAGAGAGAGAGAGAGAGAGAGAGAGAGAGAGAGGTTGACTGGTAATTTCGTCATCATATCCATTTTTTGTTTGGCCTAACACGGATCCAGAGTAGAGACAAGGCAGTTGTTACTTTTGCTAATCCTCTATTTTCTTTAATCGCATCCTAGAATATTCGTTTTAACTAGGAATTTGAAAAAAAAATCATAGAAAAAACCATTAATTTTAATCTCAACAATAATATTCATTTTTTATATTTTGAGCATAGAAAAATTAACTCTGTCATATCTATCATTTCATCATGATATTACAGTGATATGATGACACGTCTCTTTCATTTCAACTAAAAAATCAAAACAAAATGTATAGAAAGAACACATTCATTTAGATCTACGCAGTGGAATCCATTTTGTTATGTTTTGTCAAGCATAAGACAGCATAACAACATCATATCAGTGTCATATCATGTTACCATAGTGATAATATTATGATATGATATTGATAATATGTCATCAAATTATTTTTTCAAACGTAAGTTCTCATACCAATATCATATCAATATTATACCAACATCATACCAATAGTATACCACTTTTTTATCAACATCATACAATTGATATCATGTACTATCAACCACAAGTTCCTTGAAGCATATTAGAAACCTCATAAAGCCGACCACAAGTTCCCCGAAGCATACTAGAAACCTCATAAAGTCGACCATAAGTTTCATGAAGCTAACCAGAAACATAATAAAGCCGACCACAAGTTCCCTAAAGCATAACAAAAACCTCATAAAGCCAACAAAAAATTCCCTGAAGCATACCAGAAATCTCATAAAGTCGACTACAAGTTCCGTGAAGCAGACCATAAATCTCATAAAGCCGACCACAAGTTCTCTGAAGCGGACAATACATCTCATAAAGCCAACCACAAGTTCCCCGAAGCATCCCATAAATATGTTATACGAGCACGGAAATGAAACCCGTAGTTATCAAAGTTGCACAACCTAAAACAAGGATTAAAGATAGGGATAAGGCGGAATTGAAGTGTAATCTCCTGCTTGGGAGAAGGCTATATCAATATAAGGGTAGAATTTCGACCACACTCAAAGGAAATTTTTTATTGATACAGAGAAAATCGCAAGCCTAAAGCTCAATTAACCAATATAAAAATCAATATTCTTCAAAATCTGCCACAAAACTCGAGTTTAATAGGATTGGCTCCAAGAAACTTACCCTTTCAAGGAATTTTAGCAGTGATGTGATGTGCTCATTAACATCATCATCAGAAATAGAATCAATTCTCTTCCCCATTGGCTTCTCTTTATATTGATCGCTGTAATTGCCACATTGGAAGAACATGATTATCTTACTCTCCCAATCTAGGTATGCAGAAGCATTGAGAGATCCTTGAAACGAAGGAACTGAAAGCTTGATCCCTCGTAATTCAGCAATAGTACCTTCACGTCTTGCTTCTGGTGGTCTTCCACCGTAATCACGAAAATAGTGAGCTTGGCGCGCTTGTTCGGGCTCTGTTGTGGTCAGTCTCTGCGATAAGTTGTGAATCCTTACATTTAGGGCTCGGATGGTTTCAATTGGAATGCTTAGATGTCGATTCACACTTGTGATAAAGCTCTATCAATATAAGAATAGAATCTCGATCGCAATCAAAGGAAATTTTTGGATTGATACAAAGAAAACTCAATGAATCAAAAGATAAATAAGTTAGTGACATTCATTATGTATATATCGTGGATAGCTTAGTCCAACGAATTAAAGATAATATATAGCTACTAGAGGAGCATCAGATTGTCCCGCATATACAAACAAAGCAGTGGTACTCCACAAAAGTTGGTCACAGGGCCTCACTCACATCACACGTATGAACAAAGGCAGGGTTCCTGCTTCCTTCACTACACATATAATTATATGTTTGCATTTCCCCACCAAAAATTATTCACAACTTCATATACATAATATTATTATTATTATTATTATGTATTGGTGGGCATATCATATGTCAATATCATTCATCCATTACTTCTCTTTCACGTCCCATCAATCAAACCCTCCATTCCCCTTCTCTTTATTTCCCCCCTTCCTTCCTTCCTTTCTCTCTCTCTCTCTCTGTTTCTTCCCTCCTCCTTCTTCTTCTTCTTCCTCTTCCACCTCACGAAATCAGACATGAAAAGAGAGAAGAAAATTCAACTCTTAGTAGTGGTAGAAGAAGAAGTAAGGAGAAAAGGAACCTCTCCTTCCTCTCCCATGAAACGATCCCACAACTACTGATCCTGCTTTCTACTTAAATTTAAATATAAACCCCCCTAGCTTCCACTTCAGTCGGGCTAGCTCTCAGATCAGTACTCCACAGCTTGCCTGCCACATGGAACCCACGTCAGCAGCTCCTCCCGACAGTACAACCGGCGGCGACCCGGATCCTTCTCCGTCGACCGGGGGAAGGGGAGGAGGAGAAGTAGGACCGTCCGCAACACCAGCGACGACGTCGTACCAGCACGCGCCGCCGAGCCGGTACGAGTCGCAGAAGAGGCGGGACTGGAACACGTTCCTGCAGTACCTGAAGAACCACAAGCCGCCGTTGGCGCTGGGGCGGTGCAGCGGGGCCCACGTCATCGAGTTCCTCAAGTACCTGGACCAGTTCGGGAAGACCAAAGTCCACGCCGCGGGCTGCCCTTACTTCGGCCACCCGAGTCCGCCGGCCCCTTGCGCCTGCCCGCTCAAGCAGGCCTGGGGCAGCCTCGACGCCCTCATCGGCCGCCTCCGGGCCGCCTACGAGGAGAACGGGGGCCGGCCCGAGTCCAACCCCTTCGGCGCCCGGGCCGTCCGGATCTACTTGAGAGAGGTCAGGGAAGCCCAGGCGAAAGCTCGCGGGATCCCTTATGAGAAGAAGAAGCGAAAACGACCTGCCGCCCTTCCCACTGCTGCAAATGTGTCGGTGGCCGCTACTCAGACCGTGCAGCCGTCGGTAGATGACTCTTCTTCTCTGCCAGCTGGCGGTGGTGGTGGGGACAATAGTAGTAGTAGTAGTAGAGTTGGTGCTAGTTCCGGCAGCGCCGCCGCTGGTTCTGGAAGGGCGACTAACGTTGTCACTAGCGCCGCTGCCTCTTCCACAGTATAGGCTCTCTCTTTTTTTTTTCCTATTCCTTTTTTTTTAGTTATGTTTATTTGTTAATTCTATATATTTCCTTAATTGTGATTATGATCTCTAAATTAATATTCTTCCAATATGGTACATAAATGATTTGGGGTGGGAATTTCTCTCTTAAAAAAATAGAAAATAGGAAAAATTAATTAAAGGGATTTACCAACAGCTACCCAGAAATCAGCTTACGTTTAAGACGGTTAGACTTTAAAAAGGTAGACCCTTTACAATTCAACGACGAAATTTAATGGTTGATGATCATGTTAGGATGTTGGATTTTTGTCATTTTGATTCCCTCGACTGTCATAAAATTACTTGTGTGAAAATTACAAAATGTCTAATTATGTTTACAGATTCGAGACTCTCCCAGCTACATTTTGACAAAATCTTGTGCAAATTGACACACATGTTTGGTGGTAATTAGTTAACATTTTTTTAATGAATAATTAGTCTATAATTGTTCGCTCCGCAATGATTTGTTCTTGGCATGCTTACTTCTGAGTGAATACAGACAGAAGATTTTTCTCAATCTCCGACTCCGACAAACATGTACCATTTTCTTGTTAATTAAAATTAATTATGTAGTATCGTATCTTTCTTATAAGCCGGATTCATTCTTAATCCCACAAAAGATAAAAACAAAGGCAGATTTAAACAAAGTAATAAGTTACAGATGCCAGTTCAAATCGGGTACATCATCATCAACAATTTGGATTATTCAGTTTGATAAATTGTTATAATAAAACACAACTCATTTTGTCAAGGTACGTAGTTCAGTTCAGATAATGAAATTATTCTAATTAGTAATTAGCGTACATCAGTTCACCAAGTCTATACTCTATACCTGGACATGACTAATGTTATATCTCATTCACACATCCATTTATACAAACAATTTAATTTTGTAACGTCTCTGTTGGCGTAAAACTTTAATAATATCTGTGCATCACATATATCCTATTATGTATTAGTAATTGTCAAAACCAATGTTTAAAAAATATATTACTCATAGCCGTAAACAAATTGGATTTTTTTTTTTTACAAATAGTAAACAAATTGAAAGATGGAAGATCTTTCTTCCAATCTCCACCAAAGATCATATATATCATAATAGTTTCAGTGTTGGCTAGCTGAGGATGGAATTGACAATTTAGTGTTTATCTTAATTAACTAATTCATTTTGATAGCTAGATCATTTTAAATTCATTTCATGTTGTTGTTGTTGATATGCAGCAAGTCCCTTTCTGTTTTGTTTTCTCTTGGGGTTTTGTTTGTAGCTCTGTTGCTTAATACTGTGGAGATTTGTTTTGTTTTGTTTCGTTTCATATCAATACTGCAGGCTTGTTGGGAACAATTACAACACCATATCTCTTACCTATTGCTTTTCTTTAAACCCTCTTCCTTTTTCTTTTCACATTCTTTATGGGTTTTTTGTTTTGGGTTTAGGACATGGTTTAAACACGAATTGATTGTATTCATTAATAAGAGCACCTAGATGAATTAAAAAAAAAAAAAAGAGATGGTTTCAACACAGCGTCATCAACAACAATAACAATAACCCTTTTCTTACAATTTAAATTTAGAGAATCTTGTCGCAGCAAGCTAAGAGTTTGGCTTCATCGTTTAGTAGTATCTCTTACTGTTTTGTATCACGTCAACTTAATAGGGCTGCCCATCATGTGGCACAAAAGACCCTTTCATTGAGAATTCGACTATTGGTCGACTCTCGCTCTTTTCTTTCTTCCTCCTTATGACTTTCTTTCAACACTGACTTTGCGAAAAAAGAAAAATAAAAGCTAAGATAAACCCTACTTTTTATGACCTTCGCTCCAATCCTAATAGCAAATAATTAAGACACATAATCTTATTGGTACTTTTGATACATTTTATTTCTCAATGACGACCAGATTTGAATCAACATATATTCTTTCTTCGACTGAATGCAATAGCTTTATTATCGAGGTTACACACGGAAAAAAAAACTTAATCAATAAAAGTTACTTGCACAAATCTTAAATGCTTAAAAAGGATATCTGATCATAAATCCTAATACATAATAGGAAAAGAAAGGAAACAATGTATTTTTTAATACCGAGGGACACAATAGATGCTACCTCCTGCTCAATTTCAGTGGCGAGTGGTTCAAGAAATATATTCCTATTGATACTCTTCACAAAGATGATATTCTTCACAATAATGATTACGAGATTTGAATAAGATATTTCCTAATCCAATGTCGATACATTTATCACATGATCGTTCACACCTATGACGAATATGTTAAACAATTGAAGTTATTATTAACCAACTCTTAATTACATGCTTGAAATGCCACCTAAACTGATCCTAAACCCTACTGCTGAATATGGAAAAGGAAGGGGAACACAGTTACTATCTGGTCCCCAAAATTTTAGCTGTTTCTCTCCATATCCATCTTAATTTCATTTCCTTTTCCAGACCTTCTGCGCTCCCACTCTGGAGCTCAACAAACCAAACCAACCATGATTGATTTTTGTTGTTGAGAGAGAAGATCAAACTACATGTATATATATGCACACGTGCAGCTGCAGCCAGCTAGCTAGCTACAGCCCAAAATTCACTAAACGACTCAGCCAATTTTGCCAAGGGCTCTGCAAAGCTCAGTTTCAGGTGTTTTCCTTTTTCCGCCATTATAATTAGCTATAACAACTCAAATTTTTTTTGCATTAATTAATAATTAGCTATAACAACTCAAATTTTATCCAAAACTGAGTCAAATTTCACTGTCGTCGTTGGGAAATGAGAATAATGTTGTTTATAAAAGGTAGGGGTCGTTTGGAAGTTGCGATTGTCTTGTTGAGATTGTCATTATGCATGTATTGTTTACAATGCATCATTTTTTGGTACAATGGATTGTTTCTATGATGTGACAGAAACTATCACTCATTTTGAGTGATTGTTATATCTCAACTTTTAGGGGCCGTTTGAAAGTTGCGATTGTTAAATAGATGTATTGTTGGGAATACATGTATAATATTATACATGTATTGTCGAATTTGATGCATTTTAGAATACAACGTTTGGTATGTGTGATTGTGTATGTCGCATCAGCTAAAAGCTGAGACAAAACAATCTCAACTCAACTATCTCAACAATCACAACTAAAAGTTGATATATAACAATCATTCAAAATGAGTGATAGTTTCTGCCACATCACAGAAACAATCCATGTATTGTTTCTGCTAAAAAACAAAAACAAAAAAAACGATGCATTGTATACAATACATGCATAATGACAATCTCAACAAAACAATCGCAACTTCCAAACGACCCCTTAGTTGTGATTGCTGAGATATTTCAGATGAGATTGTTTTGTCTCAGCTTTTAGCTGATGCGACATACACAATCACATATACCAAAAGTTGTATTCTACAATGCATCAAATTCGACAATACATGTACAATATTATACATGCATTCTCAACAATACATCTATTTAACAATCGCAACTTCCAAACGACCCGGTATATTACATACAAGTCATGTGCTTGCAAATAACTTGTCGTCATAATTAAATCGGCAATCATAATAGTTACCGTTTATCTTGTCTTCTGTAAAAGAACCTTCGCAACCAGCCCAAACTTAAGTGCCCAGAAAATGGACAATGATAAATTTATTCATTTTTTTTAATCGATTAAGAAATGAAAACTCATGACTAGGAAAATTGATTTGCATCTGTTAAGTTCCACCAAAGAAATAATTTTGGGAAGCTTACACAAATTGCATTAATAACGGGAACATATTTTATAGTTCAGATGATCGCAGCCTTTTCTAATGAGATTGATTTGTTAGAATTTTCCATATGTATTGGTGAGAGAAATCTTTTAACTCATTGTTTGAATTCTTTGAAATTACCCACGTCCTTAAGTTCTCACTTCATTGTACAGTCCGATTATCATTTCACGTTATTAATTATCTTTTGTACGACACACTTTGGGTGTGTACCCCCAATATTAATACATAACTAGAAAATAATAAAATTGGATGAGAAAAATAACTAACTAATAAATTAAGGTAGCCACCCTGTATTTATAAGTGACAATTAATTGATTGCTGATCTTATACATTTTTATATATTTTTGGTAACCACCACCCTAGTATGAAAAGGACCAGTAGCCAACCCTGGTTTCCATTCTATTGCAATATATATGTTATCTGTAGATGACTCCCCCCATTATCATATTCTATTTTCCAATCATAACTTAGAGACCCACCAATCACTTTCAAACAAAAATAAACAAATTAAATTCATATTTTCCCAAATTAATACCCACAAACCCATTCTCCAATTTTAACATAATAATCATTTATTCCTATTCTCCTACTCATGATCATGATCTTCTAGCTTGTTTCCAAAAGAACATTATTATGTATTGCTTTGTTCTTTTCTTGAATGGCTCCTCCTTTTCTTTCATTGGCTTATCCCTTTTTATTTCAAAATTGTTATCCAAGACGAAAAAAATGGGATTTAAAAGTTATAATAAATATTGGACGTACAATCAATAATAATATTGGTGGTGGTTTTGTTTATCATGTTTGCATAAGTAAGCAGTTGCTTTCTTTCGATTAGATCACTTTGTTTATGGTTTCTTTTCCTTCACAAAGTTGCAACTTTAGACATCACTGCTCCAGTGCTCCTCCAAAGTCAATTAAGGAGATCGAGGAAAGAGAAAGCACGAGTACTTATTTACTGGGAATAACATCTTGTACAAGGATATATGGTGCATTTATCAGGATGGATCAATAATAACACCAATTGATTCGTCTTCCACTCTTTCTTGCAGATGATATTCAACTGTAGTATCTGGTAAAGGTTAGGCCGCTTCATCAAGGTCTTGAAAGCTAACTTAAGAGGTTTTACCTATAATCTATTAATTGTGAGCGTAACCGTAATTAATTTTCTTATCTGTCAAGAATGATCTCGGTCAACTAGTTAGATAAGTTATGGACATAATGGATCCCTCCATGCTTAATATTCTAATCATACGTTAGATCAGTGCCTCGTGAGACCCAACGTAATGGAAATGTCTTAGCTTAGCTAGGGAGTGCACCCTACATCAGTGGCGGAGAGAAGTGTCAAGGAGAGGGGTCCTAGCACTGGCGG